GGTGGCTGTCTTTCCTCAGACACCACCCTTGAGGTTCTGAGGACTTGGCTATGGGCCTCATGCTGAACAGTCCATCATGTCCAGTGCCTAGAGGGAGGAAGGCAGGGATGCCTTCCCGCAGCCCAGTTATCATAAGGGAAGATTCAGTCCATCTCCACTCCCCCAGGGGTTTCCCCTTTTCTCCCTCACCTGGAGACCTGCAAGGTGGGACCTTTAGAAAGAACACAGCTCTCCTCTGATGACTCGTACCTAATAAGTGCCTATTCAGGTCAGGAGCTCCCACCTCACTCTGGGCCCAGAGCACATAACTTTGGGGTCTTGGGTTTTATTAAGGCAAGGGTCTCATTTAGGTAGCTCAGGCTGGCCTCCAATCGTAATCCTCCTGCTTCAGCTGCCTGTGTATGGGGATTCCAAATGTGTCCAGTATGTCTGGCTCACCCTTGGACAATCTCAAGGCACTGACCAGGGAGGGCACTACTGCCAATCACCAGGTCCCTGCTCAGACCTGGGTGCAGACAGGTCTGAGTGGAACACCACCCTGTGGTGAACAACAGGCTCGCATGCTACAGAGGATCTGGGGTCTCCAGCATCAGGGAACAGTGTGGGTGCTCTTTTCCTTAACTATGGCAAGGGCTAAGTTGGGAGTGGCCACTAGGACTGAGTAATAGAATGGGATAGGTACACAATGGGCACTGTCCCTATAGGGTACCTAGGAATTCAGTGTCCCTAACATGCTACATCAGGGTGCTTCGGGCATGGTTGTGCTAGTCCTAAAGAAAGGGTTGGGTTTTTGTTGTTGTTTGTTTAAACAGTGTTTTACTCTGAAGGCTAAGCTTGCCTTGAACACATGACCCTCCTGCCTCAGCCTCCTACATGCTGTGATTATAGGCATGAGCCACAATGCCAAGCCCTAAATAGCATCCTTACTTACCCTGATTAGATCCCTGGCGTGATGTATGCTTCACTGCAGGAAGGAGTGTGAAAATGGGGACTCTATAATGTTGGTGTGGCCTGCTGAGGATGGGGGTAGTGAGGCTGTGAGCCTGCACACAGAGCTCTTGGGACACTCAGCCCCTCTTCCTGTGACAGATGGGCACAGGGGCTGAGGCTTTCTTGCCAGGACTTCTACTTACAGACTTTGCCCCTCTGGCTAGGCAGGTCATTGCCATCCTGTCCCTCAGTTTTCACTGGATTTAGATTAGGAAACTCCTCCCAAGCATGTCATTGTGTGGCAGTGGCAGAATGGGAAGACAAGGCACCGAGGGTGGCCTGTGCTTGCTAAGCCCAGAAAGGACTGGGTGCAGAGCTCTAGTCTTCCCTGGCTGTCAGTGGAGCAACAGAAGCTGGTCTGTGACCTTTCGCTCAGACTCTGTCAACTGACACATGGGAAGAGGAAAACGGATGGAGGATGGGCAGGAAAGCACATGAGCCCAAGAGACACACTGCGCCCGAGCCTTCATGTGAGGGGAGTGCAGCTACAAGGGCAAATGTCAAGGAAGGCCTTCCAGAATTCACTCTGGGGGCCTGAGTTACCCCCACCTGGCCATCAGGTGGCAGAGGCTTTGCAAATGTAGTCTGCTCAGGCTTGGGGCTTGGTGAGGCACAGGGAGCTTCCTGGTGTTAACTCTAGTATTAAACTACAGGGTAAACAGTTGGTATCACTGGCTTGTATTCATTGCTTTCCAAGGAATGTGGAATTGGGAAGGGAAGTAGTTTTGGGGGAGGGGGGTTTTCTGCTCCTAACTTAAAATTCTTGAAGCTCTGGGCATCACAGTGGACCGACCCATCACTGTGCTCCCTGCTAAACATGCACAGCAGTGGCCCTGCTTGTGGTCACAGTTGATGAGGACAAGAGTATTCTTGGGTTGGCGGGAAAGAGTTTTAAGGTGAGATACTGATGTCTTTTTTGTATGCCTTATTTTATGAGTCCACAGGATCTAAATTAGCTTGTTACTAGTGAATTTCTCTAGCAACAAAACAACCAGACTGAGTGAAAAATAATGATCTCCTGTGACAGTGGGTGGCCAGAAGTAGCCCAGAGGCAACAGCCCCCAGAAGAGACTGACAGTTCTGACAGACCCAGACCCAGAGGGTCTTCCTGTTCCTACGTGGCTGGAGCAGACACATTCACATTCCATATTTCATTTCTTGCCTGTTAATCAGGAAGCTCTATCCTCTGTTGTGTAGGTGCCTACTATGCCACAGTTCAATCTGGCACCATTTGTCTACTAGATGTGATGGCACAAGTTTGGTATCCTACCTACTCAGGAGGCTGGGGTAGGAGGATTCCAAGTTCAAAGTCAGTCTGGGCTACAGAGTATTCTAAGACCAGCCCGGGCAACTTAGAGATACCCTGCCTCAAAATAAAAAGAGGGCTGGGGTGTGGCTTAGCCAGAGGTCATCTGCCTAGAATCCCCCAGTGAAGGGCTGAGGGTGACTCAGCAGTAACCACTTGCCTGCCTAATACTATCAAAAAGGGGAGAGGAGAGCTGTCTGTTTTTCAGTACTGTTCATCTGGTATATCTTTGAGTGCACCTTTGGGGACTCCTCTCCTAAGACCTCTACCAGGCACTGGATGATACCATCTCCCCAATGGGGAGGCTTCTCCGCTGTGCCCCAGTGCCTGGATGGAGATGTGTAGACAAAATGACAGCAGACTGGGACATGGTGTCCCTGGTACATGACTATGGTCATGCCCTAACTCCTTCAGCATTCACAGTTCTATGTCAGTGGTCACTGTGGCCTTCACCTGCTGTAGGCCTGATGGGTTATGTGATTATAAAGTGACCTGCTGTACACCCAGAGACTCTCAACTTTAGTAGCATGTTTGAAAACAAAGTGCTTTAAAAATGACTGCTAGATGTCTATTTCCCTTTGTAGTGATGATCAGAAACCTTGGCAAACAACCCTCAGCTGTAGGGACTCACGGCTCAGGAAGGCAGGCTTTCTGCGCAAATGGATTGCACAGGCTAATTCCTGTAGCCACCCCTGCACCTTCCTGGCATGTGATAAGAAAGCCGAATGACGTAGTACATGAGTGGTTTTGATTCTCATAGCCTTTTACTTTTCACAGTTCACAATGCAGAGGAAGAAGCATGGGCCAAGCAGCCTGCCTGAGATGCATAAATACAGCACCCTGTCTGGCTATGCAGAGAGCCTGCCTCCTGCCAGATGCAGTAAAGTTGGGTGGGGGTAGATACGCTGAGACCAAACCACCCCTGCCTCGGAGCAAGCAGCAGGGTGCCTAAATGGGACCCTGGGCTTTGTCTCCCCTGGAGGAAGATGGGACCCATGCTTTTGCTCACAGTTTATTTGGTAACTTGGGCTTCTTTCCCTGACTCATAGGGCTTGAGGCCTTCTCAGACACAAGATAGGGAAAGAAACAATAACAAAAATAAATAAGAGGCACCCTGAGAACTGCAAGGAGCAAACTCAGAACAGATGAATTATCCATTTCAGTCACTGGGTAGGCATGCACCCTAACTGGGCTCCGATAACCTCAGGAGCTTTTATCTGGGTGTGGCCTCACCTGCAGGGAAGTACTCAAAGCCACAGATCTTATCGTGGCTCTGCTGGTTATTTTTACTCCTCTTGTCACATTTGGTCTGATCACAATAGTTGCTTGCTGGGTTTGCTTTGGTCCTAATTCAGATGGGGAAGCTCCTAGCCACTCCTATTGGTATATATAAAAAGGAGCCTCAGGGTAAACACTGGGGTGCATAGGTTGCCAGCTCCTTGTCACTCTGTCCCTCTACTTTGTCTTAGGGTATGGGAGCTTTGTTGGCAACAACTCACACTAGACAGAAAACTCAGCCTCTGTCTGCAAACTGAGTCCCCTCTGCTCTTTGAAGCCTGGGGGTGTGTGGGGGGGGGTGTATTTAGAGTCTTGGGCCTTTGAGAACCTAGGGACAGATGTGACCCAGTGCTAGCCAGGTTAGTGAAAGCCCAGCTTTGGCTGCAGGGAGCCTAACAGCCTGCAGGCAGAGGAAGTAACTAGGGCAGGTTTACAGAAAACAAAAAATTCAGTGGTGAGCATTTACCCCCTAGAGGCATGTCCTTGATGTCTCAGTGTGTTTAGGTCATTCTGAAGTTACCACTTTAGAATTCCAAAGGACATCATGGGGTGAGGAGAGAAAGCCCAGGGAACAGCAAGCCCTCTTCCAGCCCGTGAGCCACACTGGCATTTCCCCCCAACTTGACACATAACATTTATCTACCACCATGTAGATCTGCCCACCCTACACATCCTGACCCATATACTCTCGCATTAGGTTTGGGGGATGTGTCTCCTCTTTCTCCATGAACCCATTCAGGAGTCACAGCCACACTTGAGTTTACTCTAACACATTGTACCCTGGAAGACACCTGAGATTCCGGATTGGAGATCTGGACCTTGTGGTAGTTCTTCGTACCCTTGGTGTAATTATTAATAGTGTCTCTTGCACTCAGCGATAGTGTCTGGTCCCCTATGCACGAGTGGCCTCGGGACATGGTCAGTATCATTTCAGTGGTGTTAATTTACAGTTCTTTAAAGCTAGCTTGTCCCCAGGTCATCAATGCCTCTGATAGGTGCATGGGTGTGGGGGTGGACACAGATGTCCGGCTGCTGGGTCAGGAACAGGAACAGGATTACAGCTCTCAAGTACATAATCACAGACGGGGCGCGCTAAAGTGGCAGGTGCTGTTCTGGACAGCAGGTACTAAGTTAGCCCTAGTCAGCATTCCTGCAGACAGGATCTGTATCCCTTCATCTGGGGATTCTAGTTGCTGGCGTTACCTCCCGTGGCCGGTGACTGTCCGGGGCAGACGGCGCCAGTTTCGCTGTCTCTACGAGGACGAAAGCGGTAACCGTAGCGTCCCAGGAGAGCGCGTCGCGGGCAGCAGACCCGCCACCCGCCGGGGGTTCAGGACTGCGCGCCCGGCCCCTGGCGCCCGCCCAGCGCGGTCCCCTCCCGCCCAGGACAGAGCTCTCAGGGCTCCCCGCCCCAGGCCCCACTCACCGCTCGCTGGGCGGCGGCCCGCGCACCGGCCGCGGGCGGGCAGCTGGGCTCGCAGGAGGCAGCGGAGCTCACGGCGCGCACGCCGCGGGGGCTGTGTACACACGTGACCCCGTCCCGCCCCCGGGGACCGCTCGCGTGGTCCCGCCCGCAGAGCAACGCCGTCAGGCCCCGCCCCCTCTCCCTACCGACTGCTCCTGTGGCCCCGCCCTTTTCCTGACGGGGCCGCTTAGTCCCCGCAGTCTCCGCCCTCAGCCCGAATGGACAGTCTCTGCGGCCAGCTAGCAGCCACCGTCGCCAAAACGCAGGCGGGACGCGCACCTGCCCCCTTCCAAGTTTGTAGCATCTACGACCCGTGACTTAGGGGTCTAAGCGGAGCTGTCCTGGGAAGCAGCCTGACGCACTGTGCAGCTGCTGTCCAACGTGACAGTGGAAGGATGCCTTTTAGAGAATTTGCCTAAGGTTCAGGAAGGCCTGCCTGTCATCCTCAACACCACACAAGCCAGAGGCAGTGGTGCATGCACGCAGTCCCAGAACTCAGAAGTTCAAGGACATCCTGGGATACATGACTACTGTAAATCCAAGGCTGATCTTGCTTACATAGCAAATTCTTGCCCAGCTGGGATTCCAAAGCAAGACTGTAGAAAAGGGAGGGAGGGTCCTATAGTAATAGCCCATTGCAAGCACAAGGGCCTATGTTTGATCCCTGGGAACCCATCTCAAGAAGGCTGAGTGTGGTAGCACTTGCTTGTAATTCCTCCACTGGGGCAGTGACAGGGGCCTCTTGGCCAGCTGGCCAGCCTAGCTTACTTGCTGGTTCGGGCCACCACCAAACTTCCCCCCCCAAAAAAAAAACTGTCTTTATAAAAACAAGGTGGACAGCAGATAGCACCAGAGAAATGACAACTAGGATTGACCTCTGACCCCCATAGGCACAAACAATAAATAAATAGCCTAAACCCTCAAGACTCCTGGTCAGAGCCTGTGCTGTTTTACCCATCACAGAAGTGTCAGGTCTCTAGGGGCCTAGCAGAGGGTACCCATGAGGCTTTTATTTGCAACTAAGGAGTGCTACAGGTTAATTGAGCCCCCTAGCACAGAGGGCCCATAGGTTGCCTACCCTTCAGGACAGCAAGTGCAGTCAGGAAGCAAAGTACAGATTTCAAAGTGAGAGCAACACTACAGGAGAATCCAGGCAAGGAAACCATTGCAGAGGGCCACAGCCTCCACCTGACTCTGCAGCAGGCTGCCCTCCCATTGAGTAGGCCGCTTCCCAAGCTAGACTTCTTGGGTATAGTAGGGTGAGTGTAAAGCTGTGTCTGACCTCCTGCTCTGGGGCCCATGTTTGAAAATCACATAGAGTTGACCTCCCCAGTGCTGCAAGAAGGGCCACTAAGGGTGAGGCTGAGCCCCTGCTCAGGCCTCGTTCTTGTCATGTACACTGCGATCACGAGTCTCATCGCATGCTGCAGCCCAGTGCCCTGCTAAGGCCCAGCACCATGGAAACGCCGGAACTTCCCTTCCCGGGCCACATTCTTGGGACTTGGCAGGTCTTCCTGGCTGTTCTGGAGTGGCAGTCGATAAGATCAGCTGCATTCCACAACAAGGGCACTTAGGACTGCTGGGCAGGAACCTGAGAGTGGCCCTGTTTCCCAAGACTTCTCATTTGGTCTTCCTGGGGTTTGGAGTAGTGCTGGAGTTAATCTACCCTCACCAGACAGCAGCTGCCCCCCCCCTTTTCTCCACTTTCTCTTGTGCATTTGTGCATTGTTGGGTAGATTAGATTCTAAGCAACACATTGGCCAGGGGAGGGAACGTTTTTAAGTTGCTAGTTTTTGATGTGGATTGGGGGATGTAGTCTAAGTTGGTAGAATGCTTACTTAACATGCATAAACCCTACGCTCCATCCCAACATGCATAAACCCTACGCTCCATCCCGGGACAGCACTACATAAACGGGATGGTGGTAAGTGCCTGGAACCCAGCACTGAGGAGGCAGGAGGATCAAGAGCTCAGGGCCAGTCTTGCCTGTAGAGCAATTTTAAACCTAGCCTGAACTACATTCGTCCTCCTTTCAATAAATATAATATCTTATTGTAGAGTTATATTAATATAACCTAATGCCACCAGGGGCCTAGTGCATTATGGCTTTTTTTTGGGGGGGGGGGGAGATGGTCTTGCTATAGCCCAGGCTAGCCTTGAATTTCTGATCCTCCTGCCTGAGTCTGCCAAGTGTGTTGGGATGATGGGTGAGAGCTGTCACATCAGACTGTGACAGACTGAATAAGCAAAGTTGGAGGAGTTGAGCTGGGGGCAGGGCAGGTGGTCTGAGTTCACTTGAAGCTATGGTTCCTGCATGATCAGCCACAGGTCTCATCTTTGTCAGCATAGGGGCCCATGTCCTTTCCTGGTACCCTGCCTATTCCATCTCATCATTTTCCACTTCGCTGGCTGCCCACCAGGGCCTTTCTGTCCTCTGCGAAAGCTGATAATCCCACTAGTAACCCGAGACGGGCCAGGCTGCCATCTCTAGCTGTATCTAGGCCTTCTGGCCTCAAGATGATCTCCATGTCATTTTTAGTTGCTCTTGGCTAAGGAGAGCCTGGCATGCAGTGACACAGTTCAGACACTCAGAAGACCATGCTGTGCTCTTGTGTGAGGCACAAGCTGGAGTATCTAGGTCTAGTGGCTAACCGATCATCAGTCCTAACCAGGCACCTTCCAGGATCCCTAGGCCCAGGCATAGAAGCAGTTTCTAAGACCCTGGGGGGAAATCCGGGAACAACAGGCCTTTGCCTATATGCTCGGTGGCAGCAACTAGCCATGGGTCCTGCCAGGATACACCATGTTTCCTTCTGTAGCCCGGGGGCCCTGTTTCCAATAGCCTCTCCTTCACCCCTCTAACCTGAGGCTTCGGCAGCTCTGTGCTAGGACAAGCCTGTTGTAGCCCTGCTGGATAGGAACCTGGGAATTCTGGCCCCACACAGATTGCTGCAGGCATAAGCAGTGGCAGCTGGAGAGAAGGGAAGCAGAAGGAGGTGGTTTTCCGGCTGGCAGGTGCTAAAAATAGAGATGTGTGTGTGTCTGTCTTCGCCCCCAGCCTGTCCTGCCTTGGTTTGTGTGCCAGAGATACTGTTCCCCAGCAGCCAGGGCCACTCAGGCCAATCTCACTGCTGACTAGATGGGGGCAAAGGGAAGTGACACCATCGTTGCACAGACACGGTCTTCTCACCTGGGGAATACCTCCAGGTCCCGATTGCCATTGTGTACCTCTGTCTGACACACAGATCCATAAAGGGTCACCTTTGGTGCCTGGGCCCTGTCATTCATGGCCATTCGACTGCACTGAGTGACAGGGAACATTCCAGCTGAGAGTCAGCAGTGCAGAGGAAGGACAGCAGTCAATGAAAAACACACAGGGCTGCAGGCTAACCTGCCTTCAACACTTTGTCCTGGAACAAAATGGAGCCTTCAGAGGCCATCGAGTGTCCATAAAACAGTGTGTAGGAAACCCCACTCCTGTGGTCAGTGGCTGCAACTGGACTTCATTCCTAACAGGGATGGTCTAGTTGATTTTCTGGGTTGACTTCAGTGAAGCAGGAGCCTACCTCTTGCTGGGAGGTGGGGGCTTGACATGCTAAAAAACACTAATAGAGTTAATGATGAGCTCTTTAAGTCCAGTAAGAGGTTCATTTCCCTGTAAACTAACACAGACACTGGGGGACAGGCGATGTGACTCCCTAACTGGCATCTGTGGGGCTCGCCCTTGCTTGCCAGGCTGCCTTGAGCAAGATGACTGTCAGTCAGGTGGGCCCAGTGACACCGTAAGGCAGCACCAACTGCTTTAAGTCTAACTCTCAAATGATAGAAGCCGCTGGGCGGTGGTGCTCACACCTTTCATCCCAGCTCTTGTAGCAGAGACAGGTGGATCTCTATAAATTTGAGGTCAGCCTGGTCTACAGAGGGAGTTCCAGGACAGCCAGGGCTACACGGGGAAATGCCTGTCTTTAAAAAAAAAAAAAAACAACAACAACAACAATAACAACAAAAGATAGAAGCTGATTGTTCCAGGCTCCTGAAGGTAAGACTGTGCAAACAGCTTGTACCAGACTTGTTGCTGTCACAAGCCTAAGTGAATTCAGGACGTCTCTGTAACCATTTGCATAAGACAGACAGCCACTGTCACCAAAGCAATGGCAGCAGCTAGCTGGAACGTTCTTGGGCCCCGGCGTGCCCTGTAAGGCTGGCAGCTCCCTGGCACTCTTAGCGCCGTCAGCCTGCTGTCTTTCATCCCTTGTCCTTTGAAGACAAATTTACTTCCACCTCTATTCTTCTGGGGTTGTTCCTCCTTTCCACCACCTATGCTTCTTGTCATCTGTCCCCTAGCCAGTCTCTTGTCCTGTCTTCTGTTCATGCTACCAGCACTGCCCGCTCAATAGATGACCAAGAATTAGGCGAGAAGAGACCCCCTGGAGATGCCCTAGCTTGAGCTCATTGCCAGGGGTGAGCTGCTTAGTCAGTAAAGGGGTGGGGCAGGTGTGTTTGCACCACTCACAGCAGTTCTGCGTGCAAATAAAGGGTTCTGTTTGCACTGGCCACAGGCCATCCTTGGGGCTACCAGCAAGAAGTGCCCCACTCCAGCCTGGTGAAGATGACTGTCAAGCAATCTAGAATTCACTGAGGTCTAGTCAACAGTCATGGCTATGATAATGTCCTTCAAGGTGGCTCCCTCAGGGGCCCTGTGGAGTGCTCAGAGCAGGTGGGCTGCCATGAGGGTGGTCCAGCCACAACCAGTGTGTGTGCATGCAACCACCCGCATGTGTGTGCAGGCTAATGGTCAATATCTGGTGTCTTTCTCAAGCTCTCTGTACCGTATTTTTTGATGCAAAGTCTCTCCCTGTCCTCTTTAGGGTTACTATTGCTGTAATGAAGCGCTATGACCAAAGCAACTTGGGAGGAAGTGTTTATTTGGTTTACATTCCACAGACCTATTCATCATTGAAGGAAGACAGGCAGGAGTTCATCATTGAAGGAAGACAGGCAGGAACCTGGCAGCAAGAGCTGATGCAGAGACCATGGCGGGGAGCTGCTAACTGGCTTGCTCCTCATGGCTTGCTCAGCCTGCTTTTTTATAGAATCCAGGACCACCAGCTCAGGGATGG